CTACCTTTTTCTTTTCCTTCTGTCTCTCAACACAACTATTATTTGTATATGTTCCTTTTTATTTCACCAAATAAGATAAAAATTGGGATTTGGGAAATCTCAGCAGTATTTGTTCTGACCTTCCTCTCCAGATTTTTTATTTCAACTTTTTTATGATAGGTTTTTTACTGCCACCAAGTGGTTTTACAATTTTTCTCCCTTTTTCAGCCAAAAATCATTTTCCTGCATATTACTAAATTACTAAGCACTTGTAATTAATCTGAGTTGATTCAAAACAGGAAAGCACATATTTCTTTATAAGTGCTTTGGATTCTATTCTTCCTTAAATTACCATAATCATACAACTTCAAGGTACTGAAGTTTTGTTACATGGTATTAGACCACAACTATTACCAACCACACATTGAAGCACTGTTATACAAAGGGTTGTGGCTAAATAAACAACGAACACCTTCATCTAATCCTAACTGACAGAAGGACAAGCATTTAAGGTTTACTTATGCATTTATTCAATTTATATAGCCGGTCATCTCATACCTATGATCCTGAGCAGCTAATGAAAAATAAAATTGGATTTTAATATATTCAGCTCAAGAAATAGACCAAAGGGAAACTGGTACCTAGTGGTAGAACATACACTAGTTTTGGTAAATCACCCATAGTTTTACACACACTCACACACACAATTTTAAACAAGAAAACAAAAACTAACACAAACTAATATAAAGAAGAAAAAAGAAAAAGACACTAAAAAAGTGAATAACTGAAATATATTTTTCAGTGATCTGTGCCTATTAACAGCTGCACTATTGTTACTATTTTTATGAAGCTCCATGTTTGATGAGTTTTCCAATAACAGACCAAGGAGAATCCTGTTAGCCCGGTACTGATCCCCTCCTGTTACTGGAAGGCTGAAGTTTTTCTTTTCTCCAAAATGCAAAAAAAGTGATCCTGGTTTGGTTCAAAAGCTGTTGGCAAAAACTGAGTTGCAAGAAAGAAGAGACTGCTGTCCTAAGTGCTGAAAAAGTCAGAAAATCCAAGTTTAATTATTTTAACCAACTTGAGAGAAAATTGGGAAATCTGATGATCATTTTAATCTACTACATGGAAGCAGGTTGCCATTTTAGATTTTTACATTGCAGGTTTTCCAGATATCAGCTAACAGCATTCTTTACCAAGAGCTGTGTGATCCATGATACCAGATCCTAAACCTCCACTGTTTCATTTGAGCTGAATATATTTTTAAATTATTAAAAAAAAATATGGGCAAAAGTTCTTAATTTCTTTGTTTTGGAACTAGCTGTTATAGTTTCATGTTTGCTATTACTCAAGTTTTCTTTTGAAGCCTTCTCAAAAGGGTTCTTTGCCTTGAATACAATGTATACCTCTTCAAAGTGAAAAGATCAAATTAAATTAAACTGTACAGATAAAATATAAGAGTCAGTCCCTTCAAGTTACATAATCTGTTTGAGGGTTTTGTTTCAGAAGCATTTCAAGTTTCATTCTGAGCACTTTGAGTCTAACAAAAATGTTTTACGATCAATTAACATACCTTGATCATTTAGTTTGTAAAACAAGCTTGTACTTCAAAAAGTCTTACTATCAAGATTCAAAAGCTGCTGAAAATAATGGGAATTATTTATCAGTAACTTCAAAGAGAAACTTAACATATGAATAATTGGTTTAGTTTTCTTAAAGAAGAAACAGCTAGAGATAGGGAGGCATTTTTAGAAGCCACAGTTTTCAGCTTGAAGAACTGAGGGGAAAATTAATTTCATGAAATGATGCTCAAAGAAAATGCATTTGTAAAATGTATTTTTATAGACATAGAATTTACCAACACTACGTTATGTCCTGACAGAGTGCACTAGTGGGTAATATATAGCTCTAAAAATCTAGAATAGACAGGGTGTGTTTTTTTTTAAAAAAAGCATATGCTCTTAATAATGTAGTAATGTAATATTTTTAAGAATATGAGCAAATATATATAATACAGCCTTCCTAAAAATCTTGCCCCTCAAGACAGTCCAAACATTGTACTAGAACTTATGGAAATAGAGTATATGTTTGGACTGTCTTAACGGGGAAGATAGTGACAGATTTTATCTTCCTGGGCTCCAAGATCATCACAGATGGGGACTGCAGCCAAGAAATTAAAAGATGCTTGCTCCTGGGGAGGAAAGCTATGGCAAATCTAAACAGCATACTAAAAAGCAGAGACATTACCCTGCCAATAAAAGTACTTATAATCAAGGCGATGGTTTTCCCAGTTGCAATGCATGGCTGTGAAAGTTGGACCATAAGAAAGGCTGAGCGCCAAAGAATGGAGGCCTTTGAACTATGGTGCTGGAGAAAACTCCTGCGAGTCCCCTGGACTGCAAGGCGATCAAACCGGTCAGTCCTAGAGGAGATCAGCCCTGACTGCTCTTTAGAAGGCCAGATCCTGAAGTTGAAACTCAAGTACTTTGGCCACCTATTGAGAAGGAAGGACTCACTGGAGAAGAGCCTGATGCTGGGAAAGATGGAGGGCAAGAGAAGAAGGGGATGACAGAGAATGAGGTGGCTGGATGAAGTCACTGAAGCAGTAGGCATGAGTCTAAATGGACTCCAGAAGATGGTAGAGGACAGGAAGGCCTGGAGGGACGTTGTCCATGGGGTCACGATGGGTCGGACATGACTTCTCAACTAACAACAACAACGGGGAAGATTTTTAAGAAGACTGCATTACAAAGTAATTCTACAAAATATTTTCCTGTAGCTTGAAATAACTCATCTCCCTTTTTCTTTCCCTCACATAGTTATAGTCTGATTTTTGTGTGTGTAAACAAAGGCATTTATTTAGACCCCAGCTCCTCCCTCTGCACACTTTGCCCCCTTCCTTTCCATCATAGTTAATCAAATTTTATCTGAATTTTAAAATGTAAGGTTCTTATTTATTGTTTTTAACATTTTAACATATTAAAGATTGATATGGTATTTTAATTGCACGACTGTAAGCCGCCTACAGTCTCCTTGGTGAGATGGGCAGCACAAACAAATAAAATGTATACCTTTGCCTTTTTGTAACTATATGTGAGACTGAGGTTCTCTGAGATATGTGGATTTTCTGGCCAAATAGAAATAGAATTGCTGTGTAATTTTAATAAACATGTGAAATGATGCAGTGCATATGCAAAGAGTTATAAATGAGTGTTTATGTCCTTAAGGCAGTAAAGTAAATGCATATTTGATGAGAAGACAACTATGGTTTGCCTGTAAAGTTTTCTTATTTTTTAAAAAAAAATAAAATAAAGCGGGAAGTATTTAAAATTGCTAAATATTTTATATTATAATGTACGAGATATGTGTAATAAATAGAGTGCGCTTTTGCAAAGATTTTAAGGTGATGTATCCTTTCTGATTGAATTGCCAAATGTCGCTTTGAAATTGGCAAATTTACTAAAAACCAACACCATACTATTGTTGTTTAAATATATGTACCCAGATAATATGCTGTTTGCTAAACATCGAAAATGTTACCTGAGGAAACCCAAGCCTCAACCCCAACCCTGACCCCAACCCTAACCTAAACTCCAATCCTAACCCTGACCCCATTCTACCCACCCTTTAAAAATTAATAAAACTTTAAAAAAAGAAAAGAAATTGGCAATAGAAGAAGTGTAGTTCTGACCTGCCGTGTATTTTAAGCAGCTCCAAAGCACAGAAAGTGAATTAGAAACACTGCACAGGCCTAATAAATTTCAGCGTTAAGACACTGTGGAAATCAACTTTGCCTCAAAATTAGTACATTTTTAATTTATAGTGTGTTTTTCTCCGCCATATCATTCCACACACCAGTGCAGCAGATAACTCATAAACCAGAGGTCTTCAAACTTGGCCCTTTTATGACTTGAGGACTTCAACTCCCAGAATTCCTCAGCCAGGCACACGTGCCTGGCTGAGGAATTCTGGGAGTTGAAGTCCACAAGTCATAAAAGGGCCAAGTTTGAAGACCCCTGTCATAAACAATCCCACTACATACAGAGAATATCAAATGAAAACATTGAGAGACCGAAATGCAGTGAATGGGTTCAGCAATAATACATCATAGCGTCATAAGGGTAAAACAACAGATCAAAACTATTTTGGAGTTGAATGGCAAACGGCAAAATTAATATTTCTTTTAATTATATTTTAAAATGGTGTTTGTAGGGTCTTTATCTGTTTTTAGCTTGCTGTAAGCCGCCCTGGGTCCGCCAGGAGAAGGGCGGGGTATAAATCTAATAAAATCACAAATCACAAAAAAATCAAAGCCAGAAATAAAATAATGACATAAAAATAAAGCATTATGATATATGATACCAATAAAGGAGAATATTTATAGCTCAGGGTTGAAATGAGGGGTCCTTGGTGCTTTCTGAACTTGCGTGTTTTCTTGCAGACATTTCATTCCCCAACTAGGTAACACTATCAGTGCTAGTCCTATATAGGCCCTGTATGATAGTATATTATATGAAACATAGGATAATATGTTATAATAATGCTACAATGCAGTAATGTACTAACTATAGCAATATAATGAATATGCTGCTGCATTATGATAGGATAATTAAGGAAATTAAAAGCTATCGTGTTATTACCGCATAAGGTGATCCCAATTCCCTCCCCCCCCATTAGGTTTAAACTAAGAATAGAAGATATTAAGGGAGCTAAAAGTTTATGAAATAATATATAACATTTCCAATGCAAGTGCTATTTTCAAGTCATCAAAAAAGTGGTATTGCCCCTTTAAGGAAAAAAAAGTGACGTTGCCCTTTTAAAAAAAAGGGAGGAGTAGAATCAGTACGAATAGCTCTCGCGAGATTACGCACCAATAATCCCACGAGAGGTGTTTTCTAGTGCAAGATGGCGTCCGCTGGAGTTGGGGCCTCGACACCGGAGGATGGAGGCGACGGCGAGGCCACACCACCCAGTGTTCCGGAGCCGATGGCTGGGGAAGCTGCGGGGTCAGCTGAGCAGGGAACAGGGGACTCGGAGACCGGGTGAGGGCTGGCGATATGGCGGGCAAGAAGAGCGAAATTGGAATCTTCATTTCTATTGGCTGGGAGTCAAAAATAACCAGGGGGCACTCCTATTGGCCGGAGGTTTCGGATCCGCTTCTCATTGGTCGGAGCTTTGACTTTGCGCCCAATGAATTCCGTCCGGCTTCTTTCTCCCCGCCTTGTCGAATCCCGGGCTTTGCAGGAAAGCTTTCAATGGCGGGATGTATGGAGCCTGTGCTCCTTCCAGATGTGGAGACTACAACTCCCAGAATTCCTAGCCAGCTGCAGTTAGGCCGCCGTCTCGTTGAATTTAGTCCATTTAGTCTCGGTTTTTGTTGGGGGGTGGCGACTCCCCAGATTCCCAGCCAGCCAAGACCATGCCTTTGACCCAAGACCTCTGTAGAACAGGGGTTGGCTATAGTCAGGCAGCTGCATTCGCCTTTTGCTCCCCCTGAACTCTCATCTCTATTAATTCCAGTAACCAGACATGTTGGTTTGCTTGCCTCTTGTGTTTGTTGAGCTGCAAACCATGATTTCCGACTAAATATGTTGCATGAGCAGGCATGCAGCATATTAAGTATTTAAACCATGGTTAAACAGATTATGGTGTAGCTTGTTAAATGACAGCAGCGTTGCTGTTTCCTATTCTGGAATCAGGTTTTGATATTTCTCCGGCATTATTTCCTTCTCTGCTTCTTACATTCCTTTTAATATGTGGCTGGTGCTGATTAGACCATAACTTAATTCCCATCCTATATTGTGCACCCACTTCTTATTTAGTGGCTACTTTGATTAGTGACCATTCACAAATAGGATGGTAACAGAAATTCAGTTTCCAACCAATGGGCAAATTTATGACTCAATCCATGCATCTGACTACAAGAGTGAGAGTCTGAATGAGACTGCAGCTTGTCTTTGCCAGTCAGATGTTCACCTGGCACTAAATGAGGAATGGTTGTAAAACAGGTTGATTCCTGCTCTCTTGTTAAAAAGTATGAGGTTATTAGTGATGGTGGGAGGAACATCTTTCTGCTTAAAACCATTGAGAATTGCTTCACTGAACTAAAAGGAAAAAGTATAGGATAAAAAGACATTTGCTATGCTTCTCTATTGGCAAATATCAGGTTAGATCTCTTGTAGTTACCTGACTTGAGAAGTGATTTAGCCTTTTTAGTGTGGTTTTGATAGCTGTTTTGGATTATAGCTTTCTACTTGGTTAGATATGTAATCTGGTCCTTGGAGAATAGTTGAGAATAGATGCACTGGAGTACATCATATCTATTCATGTTCTGGGAACCAAACTTAAAACGATCTTTCCAAAGCTAATCTGTATGACCAAATTATGATGGGGATACAATTATAGGAANATCCTCTCCGATCTTTCCAAAAGAGGGCAGCACATGCTTATATCTGAGGTTGGTTTCAAATAATTGGTGGGTATTAGTTGAATTTGAAACTTCCCTTGTTACATAAACAGGGCTTAGTTTCATTAACACTTTATTTACGTAATTATTTACAAAATCAAAACCCCAGATTGTTCACTTTATTTTGTTGTTTAGCAATAGACTATTGGCAATTACTGTGTATAAAAACAATTACTGTATATAAAAAAATAACAATAGACTATTGGCAATTACTGTATATAAAAAACAATAGGAATAAAAAATGGTTCCCTATTAACGTTGCAAGAGATATTTAGTAGAAGAGAAATGATAATACCGGAGTTTTTCAGGTAGAGTTCTTGAATTGCAAGAGCCAACATCAAATGGTTTATGTCCCAGGCTTTCAAAACTTTTTCCAGTTCTTAACCTCTGCCACAAAATGTTGGAAGGCCATTTTAAAATGTCAGTTCTGTGATTCAGTTGAATATGCCTAGACTTCATGGTGGCTGCTTTGTGATTCTCATGTGCCTGAATTTAGATACCACCCTAGACCATAATCCAATTGGTGAGGCTTTGGCTTAGTGTAAGTCAGATAGCGGTGGATTATTTAATAAATTGTGGTTATGCAGAACATGACGTAACACACAATATTATAGTTTTTAAATACAGATACACTTCTCGCTAATAAGCTGTTTCTGGCTGAGGACCTTCGTTTCCTATCTCTGCTGTATTAAGAACACTAAGACCTGTGTATATTAATCAAAGCAGTTGTGCTGTGTAAATTGTAATGCTTAATTGAGGGGTCCCCAATCCCTGGGCCATGGCCCACTACCAGGCCTTGAGTTGTTTGGAAATGGTGGGCTTGTTGCCAGTTGCGAAACCATCCCCCCCCCCTCCACAAAGCCAGAATCCATGGCTTAATTCACTTGGTTTTGAGTATGCCCAGCCATTTTAGAACGTCCGAGTATTTGCGGAATGAGGATTTACATATTATCCTTTACATTTCCATGAAAGCTTGAGGCTGCTTATTTGCAGCTGTTTCTCTGAAATGTTTGACAGCCTTGGCTAAAGCTGAGTGGAGAAATGCTGTTTTGCTGGCTCATTGTGAACAAATAATCCTAAAGCTGTAAACATCCATTGAGTTAATCAGCAAAATGATAGGACATTTAATCTTTTAAAAAAAAAGAAACCCAAGGGGTTTTTATGAGCTGTCATCTACAGGCCAGTGCTTAGCCCAGTACACATAAAATAAACAGACTGATCTCATGGGTTATACTCTACCTACTTCTTGATTTGAAGCCATTCTAATCCATCTGTATAGAGCACCTTGCACAAAACCAGAGCCAAGCGAGCATTGACTTCAGATGTCCCAAGAAAGTGAAACCCTGAAAAATCCCTTGTGTCATTTGGTAGTCGGATGTCTGATGTTAATAAGGGTGTTTCTCACTGACTCCAAATATGATGGTTGACTTGGAGGCTTTATGTTCAGAGATCTTGACTTTGATGTTCAGATTACAAAAAGGACCCGAACAAACTTATCTGTTTTTGTGCTTATTGTCTCTGTGTATGTCTATTGATGAGGGAGAGGAGCAGTGGGGTGTTAAGTTACTAAAGGAGTCAGGTTGTGTGTTTACAGTTTTCCTCTATTATCTGAGAACAGTGGCGTTTGGGATGTATTTAAGCATTTAGTGGGTGAGTTGGCTTTTATTTCCATGTACGTCTTCAGGGTTTTTTTTAATTAATATTGCCTTAAGGTTTATGCACGAGGTATGGGTGAGTAGGCAAAAGTCTTGCAATATTTTTTTTTTTTTGATAAATGGCTTAACCTGCCCAAGTGTTACTTTACTGAGTGTACATTTTTCTTCCATCTGATTTATTGAGAACAACCACTGAATTGTTGTTTCAGATCCTGCCTTCCCTTTATGACTAACTACAGCTTCCATTGCAACATTTGCCATCACAGTGGGAATACATACTTCTTAAGAAAACAAGCAAGTAAGCTGGTAGAAAAAATGTTTCTATACCCGTTTTTTTTCCCCGCATCCACTTTTATTTTTAAGTTATAAACTTCAAGAGATGGAATTATCTGCAGCACTCTTAATCCTTTTATCTCAGGAGTTGTTAAGCCATACACGCTGTATGAAGTACCTGAAATTGGTAATATTACAGCTGTTTGCAGAGGCTTTATAGATGCTGAGGAAGCAAAGTCCAGCTTTGTTGGGTCTGTGTTCAAGCTCTGACTGGCCTATTCCCTTCCCTGGCTTTGTTGGTTGTTCATTTTGGAAAATATTAAGACTTGCAGGCAGTCCTTGCTTAACAACAGTAACTGGGACGGGGGTCAGTTCTGCAGTCCCCGTCATTAAATGAATCACCATTGGTCATTAAGTGAGGACCACAGGTGACTATATCTTATGACATCCTATTAGCATCCACTTTCACTTTACTTGTTGGAAGCTGGCGGGAAAGGTCACAAACTGGTCTTGTTTCTGCAGGACTCTGCAGTGGTCAGAAATGCACATGCTGGTTGCTGGGCGTGTGGATTGTGGATTGTGATCATTTTTATTTTTATTTTTTTTTTTTTTTTTTTATTATTTTAATTTATATACCGCCCTTCTCCCATAGGACTCAGGGCGGTTCACAGCATATTAAAACAAATAATATACCCAAAATACAAAAAATACACAATACAAAAATACAAAAGAATAAACCCTGATAAAAGCCGAATTAAAACCAAATATTCCCAGCTGTGTTACCGATTAAAATACTTTTAAAATTATCCCT